TGGTTACCCGGCATCACATAAAAATAAACAAATAAAATAAAGGTATTGTGTCCATCTACAACCCAAAAAAATCTTTAAAAAAATATTTAGGGCTGGGGTTGCAGCTCAGCATGTGTGAGGCACTGGGTTTGATCCTCAGCACCATGTAAAAATGAAATAAAGATATTGTGTCCACCTCCAACTAAAAAATAAATATTAAAAAAAACTTTATAAAAATTGAATGATCTATGCCACAATTTATATCACTTGGAAGGCAATTTTGTGATATTACACAATATTTAATTGAATATTTTTAAAGTTTGGTCCACATATTAATTTTAATTACTGAACCAGTTGCTAAATTTTCTAAATTTTTTACTTAATTTTTTTTTGTGTGTGTGTATGTGTGTGTGTGGTACTAGGGACTGAACTCTTACTTAAAAAAAAAAATTAAATTATCACCCCTAAGTGACAGAGCTCTTAAGCAACTCCAAAAGTACATTTCATTTGCACTCCAAAGCACAAGATGTTCAGAAGAGGAAACACTTCCTGCCCATATTTCTACAAACGAGCTGATGTTGTGCTTGCCTCTGTCAGCTACAGGCAAGTGGCTAGATGTTCTGCCTTTGTGCTTTGCTGGGTGTCACTATTAGCCTTTGGAAAGAGACACACTGTGCTACAGCATATTTAGGACAGGCCCCTGGGAAGACAGAATGCTATGGGAAGGCCACAGAGCAACTGCAGGACCAAGAACCCTGGGCAGCAGCGCATGGGGGTGCACACCTGTAATCCCAGCAACTCGGGAGGCCAAGACAGGAGGATTGCAAGTTTGAGGCCAGTCTTAGCAATGTAGCAAGACCCTGTCTTAAAAAAAAAAATAGGAAGAGCTGGGATGTAGCCCAGTGGTAGTGCATCCCTGGGTTCAATCCCCAGTACCACAACATAATAATATGATAAAGTAAAACAGAATAAAAAGAACACTGTACAGGCAGAGACCATGTCTCTCATGTCTTCCATGTTGGGCAGCTTGGTGGCTAACCAGGCAGCTCTTCCTAACTTTGTGGTTATCACTGAGGTGACTCAATAGGGGAACTTCTTGGATCCTTTGGCCAAGAACCAAGAAGAGAGAAGCTTTGTATTTTGTTTTTAATGGACACGTAGTCATTATACACACTTCTGGAGTACAGTATGCCATTTCATTACATGAATACAATGTGTAATGAAAAGGTCACGGTGATTAGCACATCCATAATGTCAGGCATGTATCATTTTTTTGTGTTGGGGACATTCAAAATCCTCTCCACTGGCTACTTTGAAATATTTCATTGTCAACCACAGTTATCCTATTGTGCTATAGAACCTCAGAAGTTATTCCTCCTATTCAATTGCACCCTGTGCCCATTAACCATCCCTCCCAACCCGCTCCCCTACATGCTTCCTAGGCTCTCGGAACACTAGTCTATACTCCTCTTCAAAATCAACCTTTTAATATCCACATATATGAAAACACACACACACACACACACACACTCCCTCTGGGGCATATTATAGAGAGGCACAGACAAAAAACAAAACAAACAAACAAACAAAAACCCTTTTAAAAACACATAATTTGTGTAAAACTGTCCAGGTCTAAACCTATCTGAGCTCCTCTCCTTCCTCTATCTCAGACGTTCTCTGGTCTCCTCCACAGAATGGCGCCAAGGTACTCTCCTAAGGTTGAGGGCAGCAGGAAAGGTTGGAATCTCAGAGACGGATATACCTTTGTGAGGAATGGAAAAGGGCAGCTAGGAGACCTGGAAAGAGAGGACCACTGGAGAACCATCCAGTCCAGGAATGGTACAGAGTCTCCATCCGTGATGTCCAGTGCAGTTGATTGACAGGTAAGCAACTGTGATGGGAACTGTGCCTCTGAGCCCAGTCAGGAGTACGGACTAGATGCCTTGGGTTTCTGCAGCCAATTAGCACAAACTTGGTGGGCTAAAATGACAGAAATTTATTCTCTCACTGATCTAGAGACCAGAAGCCTGCAATCAAAGGTTGACAGGGCCACGTTCCCTCTAAAGTCTCTGGGGAGAAGTCTTCCCTGCCTCTTCCAGAGTCTGGTGGCTCCTAGTTTCCCTTGGTTCTAGTCGCATCGTTCCAATCTCTACCTCTCTCTTCACAGGGCCTATTCCCTTTGTGTGTCTCTCTGTGTGAATCTTTCTTTTCTCTAAAGATTGCAGCCAGCCCTGAATCCAGGATGATTTCACCTTGAGATTCTTGATTAATCATATCCACAAAGACTCCCATTTCTACATAAGGTCATATGCTGAGGATTTGGATAGATATGCGTTTTGAGGGGACACTAATCAACCCTCTGCAAGTGCTGGGATGGCTGGGAAAGCTTGAGAAGGGTTCTGAACTGGCTACGAATAGTTCTCACACCTTCTATCTGCCACTCAGATGTAGCCCAATGCCTTACATATGTCGGAACTGGGACTCGGGCAATTAAAGGGCTCGACCAGGACCATGTAACTAGGCAAGGTCACAGGACACAAAAATAAAGAAAGAACATTTTAAGATGCAGGAGGTGGGGGTGGGGGTAGAGGATGAGGATGGATTTACTGTTAGTTGTAGATTAACTGAGGAGATCATCTTTGCATTTAAAACCATTATCCAGAGAGGATCTAGATGGGGCAAGAAAATAATCACTAGTCAACGAGAGAGAAAACTTGGAAGAATTAGTGCATCCTCGAGATCGTTTGCAGGGTTTTTTTTTTTTTTTTTTCCTTTTTGGCCAAAGGAATGAGAGCTTCTCTCAATGGGCAAAAGCCTCTCCATACTGGTCCCTGAAAGCATCGTGCGTAGAAGCCTGCTGGTTGCCATGGTGAATGATGCTGATGTGAAGAAATGAATAATGTGAGCATCGGGGGCGACAGTGGGATTACTCAGTGGTGAGAGAGACATCAAGGAGAGCCCAGGGCGGAGGAGGGAGAAGGCACCATTCTCTGGGCTTTGGTCCACGCTGCCTCGGAGGGTAAAGCTCTAACCAGACACACTGCAAGCATCAGGTAAGAGATGTAGCTAGCTCGACTTGGAAATGGAGACGGCTTTTCCTTTCACTCTCTGTTTGGAGAGAGGCCAGGTGATGGTAAAGAACAGCTAAAAATAGGGGAGAATTTGGAAACAGAGCTGAGGAAGTAAAAGAAATAAGAGAGATGGATTTGGTCCTAAAGGCTGAAGATGCTGATAGCATCCTGACAGAAAGAGCTTAAAAATGTCTGCTGTAGGGAAGTCAGGCTGTAAAACCAGCCAGCGGCAGACAGGAGGCAAATGGAAGAAAAAGATTCATGCGTGACAAGAGCAGAGCGGGATTCCTGATCACTCCTGATGGAAGGGTTCTGCAGAGGCCATTGATATGTTTTACAGGGAATGAATTAAGCTGTATTCATTATGGCTGGAAGTGTGTTTGTAGCATGTGTAGGATGCTGGGGGTGTGGGGGGAGGATAAATGTGTACGAGGAAACCACAGAGGGAGTGCAGACCTTCACTCTCCTTCCAGACAACCGTCCCCAGGAGGATCTGAGCACACCTGTCTCATTCCTTTCTGGCCCTATTTAGGGAGAGGAAATTTCCAGCCAAAGGGAAAGGAACTATTCCCCTTCCTGAGTACTTTAGTTCACTGCCATCTTTAGAGAAGAAAATCAAGAATTGAAAAATTACACTTTGTAATTTATCTTTCTGTAGCTCAACTCCCCTGGAAACCTGGGCACAAGCCATGAGGTTGGGGGGAGGCCGAGCAGAGAGAAGGGCTGGTTTGGCTCAATATCTGATTCGGGTTAAAAATCTGATTGACTGATTTTTACTATGTCATTGCAGTCTGAAATGAAACCTGTGTTGTGTGGGAGAGGAGGGGCAGAGTGACATGTTTACCAGAGCATACAGAGGTTGACCACAGCTGACTCTATGTTTCACCAGGGGAAACTCAGTGGAGGGCAACTCTATCTTTCAGAATTAAAGAGAAACCAAAAGATGGCTTTCTCTTCCCCAAGAGGGAAGGCTGGAAGTCTAAAGAGAGCTCATTTGATTTGTTTGGTAAAACAGCAACTGAGATCCTTAATTTGCAAAAATGTTCTGTTACTAAATCCAGTAGCCTTGCATTTGGAAGTGAAGTGGTTAAGCAGCTTTGAGTTCTCTTTCTATTCATTAAAATGCTGAGTGACCTCAGGTTGTTCATCTGCAAAATGGAAATCTGCAAAGCAGCTCTCCAGGTGGAATGCAGAATAATGTTAAATATCATTGCATATGAAGTGTGTAACATGCCCTGGACAGAGCAATGGCCCACTTGCTGTGGGTGGTTATTACCATCACTGACAGGCATAATACCTGGAGCGCTGAACAGTAGCACCATGCTCTACAGAAGCTGATTATCTCAACCTATGAAACTAATTTCCTGGTACCTTTGGCCTTGAAAAAACAAAACCAAAGCACAAGATTTAAGGTGAAATCAGCTGCTGGCAGGTGATGAAGTGAATCTCCATTCATCATGGGCAATGTAACTGGGGGTCTAAAAAAGAATAGGTTCAATGTTCTAGATAACTGAGCTCAGAACACCTGGAGCAGAGGCAGGAGGTCAAGAAGAGAGATTTTAGATGAAATAATTGCTTGCGTGGAGGTCTCAGACCTAGGACAATTAAGGTGGGACCCCTGAGGTTCTACTGATTCTATTTTTATTTTATTTTTTTTCAATGAGGTAGAAGTGATGTTGTACCTACAGGATTTGAGCCAGGGAGGGATGTGGCTGAGGTTGGATGGGTAACCAAGGATACCAGCTTTGACATGAGTTGCACTTTCCTTGTTCAGCTCCTTTGCTAGCCAAGCTAAGTAAGGTGACCTCTGGGCGTCCATTTGCTGGTCTGTAACATGGGGTCCATATCAGTGCCCATCTCACACGCTCAAGATGTGGTGGCTATGATGATGATAAATAATATTTAAGGAGGGGGATGTCACTCTTCACTTTGATTTGGTTCCAGAATCGGGATGAACATCGAGGTTGGGAACGTTTCTTACACGGGCGCCATCATCTCCTGGTCGTCCTCGGAGCCCTGTCTGGAGGACTATTACCATATTATGTACAGACCCAACTGGAACAGCATCTTCTCCGGCTATCTCCGCTACAGCTTCCACCACGAGGAGAAGGTGCCTCGGACCATCAGCTCCGTGGTGCTGGAACATCTCGCCCCTTCCACTCTCTACTTCCTCTGCATCAGTTGTAAGAAGGCTGCCTTCCCCTACAGGCACTACTGCACCATGTTCCACACCTTGGATAAGAGTCCACTGGCTGCGGGCAGCTCCCTGGTGGATCCCCAAATCTCCCTTTGGGTGTTGATGGCCATCCTGCTGGCCTGCTTCACAGCTGTGTTGGCCTTCATCTGCCTCCAGTTCTGGTGCATCCGTTGCCATGAGCCTCGATGGTCTTACAGAGCTGGCCACATGGAGGAAGCCAATGGGCTAGTGAGATGGCCGGAGGAGGCCCCGGCCCTTGGTCAGAGGGAGGAAGACCTGCAGGGGCTCCCCCTGGTGGAACTGCCACGCAAGGACTCTGGAGCAGGAGCTGGAGCAGAACCGGAAGCCCAGCAGGATGGCCCTGATGAGGAAGCCAGGGAGGGAGGTGATCAACCCGCCATAGTGCCTCACTTCAGGGAGTGAGAGGCGGGGAGGAGATGGCCCTCATCATACAGCCTAATGCCCCCCGACAGTAGGTCTTTTGTAAAAATGTGCCTATAGACTCCCCATATCTCTTCCCTTAAATGTCAGTGCCATTGTAAGATCCCCTGGGTTGGGTGATGCCTGATGATGAAATCTCTCAATCCGGTAGGTGCACTTCCTGGGTGTGCCAAAGGGCAAACACGGATCTCCTCAATGTGTCCATTTGAGGGCCCCAGTTAAGAATCGAGGCATTCTTTTAATATTCAATCAAAAGTGAACGTATTATAAAGTAAAAAAAAAAAAAATGCATGACTTAAATAAATACACAATACTTGAAGAATATGTGTGAGTTGCCAGTGGGCCCCTTGAGCTATGCTTTCATTCATTCTTTTGGAAAAAGGTGAGAGGTCTTTCTTTGGAGTGTTTTCCAGATTTAAGGCAGTCAGAGACCACTTTATACCCCATCCTCATTTTTTTTTAAACCATCAACTTTCTTTATTATTATTACTAACAATATTTTTATTTAAATTGACTCGTTTTTTAAACTTAAACTCATTTAAGCCTTATATCACCCCATATATGAACAACCAGTACCCTCTGGCTATAAATAGAAGAGAGATGAGTATTAGTGTCAAGAAAACAAAATAATATTAAATTTGTCTTGGCCACACTTGTCTGACAATTACTCTGAGCTTAGACCTGCTCTCTTGTGTTTGATAAAAAGAAAGGGGGGTGGGACTCAGGCAGTGCTGAAGAGGTATTAAAGACATGAGCACTGACGTAAGTCCTTTGTCTTAATCTATCGCAAGGTTTGAAAGTAAATTGAAAAAAGGACGCACTGGTTTTACTTTGAGTCAAGGTTAGTTAAAACCATGCCTGTGAACCACCTCAGATGGTATCTCTAACTTCCCTTGATTTGAGACAATCAGTTGGAGAGACTGTCTGCTCTGGAGAAGTCCACGGCTCTCTTCCAGCATCACCCTAAGACCTTCCAAGAGCCCACCACTAGAGCCGAGTGGTAGGAACTCATCTGTGTTCATCACACTTCCAAATCCAGAGCTCCCAACCTAGCAGAGGACTTTTTCTCACACAATTTTAGCCACATAGTTGGTTCTTCTTTTAGGTCCACTTCTATTTACTTTTGAAAATGCGGTCAAAGGTGGCTCTTTTTTAATTCCATCAGAAAGAAAAATGACACATTTCACACCTTGATAGTGTTCTTTGTTCTGCCCATATAAACCCCCGTGGTAGGAAACAAATCTATACATATTGTGGTACTAGTGAGGCTCTGGGAACACTGTTCCCGTGCCCCCACCTGGGGGGAGGGGTGGAAATGCAAGTCCAGGAGGGTAAAGGCTACGTCTGCTTCATCCCTAAGGAGGCTGCAGTGTGTAGAATCTAGTCCATATCTGGCCCAGGGTGGGTACATGAGAAGTGTCTGTTTAAGGAATGCAAAGAAGGACTGACAGCTTCATTTAGGAGGGTCACTGAGCATCAGGATGCACACACGGGAGCATCAGCAGCAATGAAATGAAAAAGACCTGTTTCTCGGCTCCAGCTTCAGCCATGTGCAATTCCCTTCAGAGCTTCACCCACCCAACCTCTTCCTGTCTGCAAATCCATTATAGCTATGGAGCACAAAATCCCAGAATCGCTGGACAACATCGCAACAAATCAACTGAGAAACAGAGGGGCTTGGAAGCCAAGATGAGAAGCCCCACAGCCCCACTTCCCTGCCCTGCTCAGTGCAGTCCTCACTGCCTAGCACCCAGCACCTAGCACCCAGGTCTCTGTCCACCCCCATGCCTGCTAGTTGTTAACAAATAAAGATGAATATACTTGCAGTCGTTTCTGCCTGGACCTCACTGTGGCCTCTTGATTGCCACACCTTCTGGCTTCTCTGACTCTGGGAACACCTTTTCCTTTGCCTTTTCTCACTAACCTTCTCACAGGCAGCACAGGGCAGGACCACCTACCTTGGATCCATAGAGGTAGTAAGGCTGGACATTGGCAGGTTTGTCTCTCTGTGGTTCTTGGGTGAAAGGAATGGCAGTTCGGACAAAACTAGTAAAAGAAAAGACATGGGGAAGGGGTTAACGTGATCCTCATAATATCCATCAGGGGACACAAGATTGCAGGCCCACGCTCCCTGACCAGGTGAAGTTTCACATTGGCACAACTGCCCTATGTCCTAGGTGGTTGCTTACAAAAGTATTCATAACATTCTTCTTTCAACAATCCTTTCATTCAACAATTGTCATTTTTTTCCTTTTTTTTTTTTTTTTTTAATCCTTTTCATCAATGGGAAAACTTGCAGCCCAGATTTCCCAGGCTCAATTCAGGACTTGTGGCTGCTCAGAGGACAGGAAGCAAGCAAGGGAGGGCTGGGCCTGAAAATGGCCTCTCTGTGGCTCCACCTCCACTTTGATTTCAAGAAGTGGATTCAGCAAACTCCACAAGGGGCCAGAAACAAATGTTTTCAGCTTTGCAAGTCACTTGGTCTCTTCACATGTACTCAACTCTGCTACTAAGCAGCATCAGCAGATGACAGCAAATGAAGGAGCATGACTGCTCCAAAATACCTCATGAATTTTAAATAATTTTCATGTGTCACCAAATATTACTATTCTTTGGATTTCCCTACCCGCCCGTGTCCCCTCCAAAAATATCAATACCACTCTCAGCTCGTAGGCTGTGCAAAAACAATGAGCAATAGGTATGTTTGTGGCCTGAGTTGTCATTCGCTGCTCCCGACTCAAGTGCACTAAATGTCCTATGTCTTCATAGGACTGGAAGTCTGTCATGGTCTGTGTGTCCTTTCAGGTGCACTTGTGGATTCCTCCCATACACTCCATAAGAGTTCGTTCAACTCGTACTCATTTAATCCGGCCCTGAGCCAGGCCCTGGGACTACTGAGGGGACCTGCAGATGGGAGCATTTTTGAACATCCTTCTGTACTTGTTCTGTAGGTTACTTTTGGCACAAGCTCTGGGGGGACAGGGATGAGGTCTTGTCTTTCCTCAGTGCCCGTGTGCTCTTTGCAGGGGGCAAGTTCCACTCTGTCACGCTTCTGTGTGCCCTGAAAGGCTATGCCTGCTTTGCACACGAGCGTTCAACACATGGGTGTCCTTACACATATTCAGTGTGTTAGTGGTTCTCCCCTTCCTCCGAGTCTTCCAGGGTTCCTAAGGGCATAATCCTGACTGGCCTCTGGAGCCCTGATGTCCCTGCTTCCTCCCGTGTCCTGCTTCATCTGTCACAGCACCATTCTCACTCCAGAGTGACATCCTCACTAATGTCATGTTTTTTGAGCAACCTTGCTTCGGTTCTCTGCCTCTGCTATTTGACTTGACTTATGGCTACTCCTCTTTTGTATCTCAGCTCAGCATTACTTCCTCAGAGGAGAGCACCCCCTTCAAGGTTTGCATCACTTCCTGGACTGGATCAGGTGGAGCTGTGACCTCTCAAGGCCCTGGGGGCTTTCCCACTTCCTGGACTGGATCAGGTACAGGTATGACCTCTTAAGGCCCGGGGGCTTTCTCCCCTTCTCCTTCCATCCGTCATATGATTGCCTGATACCGAGTCCTCCAGCCTGAGGGCTCAGAAGCAGGATAAGGTTTGGGTGCTCCCTGGCAACCTCACCTCCATCACAGCACCCAGCAGAGGCAGCACCAGATGCCTGTCACAGCAACATACTGACACACCGCTGGGCCCAGTGTGGAGGAGGCAGTGGGTGGCAACCCTGACTCCCCACCCAACCCAACCCACTTGGCACAGGGACTCCCTTACCGGTTTGTGGATCCATTGTAGCAGTAGTTGGGGAGGAAGTCAAAGTTCAGCTCCCAAAAGACGTGCAGGGTGATGCGGCCGTAGGGAGCCGACACGTTGTGATTGGCCTCCCGGAACATGGCATCGAAGCTGTCCAGAGTCATGTGCTTGCAGAGCAGCCGGTGCGTGAGGCGGTTAACCTCCAACAGCCACTCCAGCTCCTGCCAGAGAGAACCCGTGGCTGCTCAGGACTTGCACATGACTCCACATACATGGTGTTCCCTTATGGGGTCGTTCAATTACGGTGAGGGGCCCTCACACTACCTCAACCTCCTACAGGAGGCCTGGGACCCTCTGCAGTCGCATGGGATGAAGTTCCCTGCTTCTGAAAAGTGGAAGAAATTGCCAGACTATAGTGCGGGCAAGGAAGGGCGGTGGGCTGGGATCAGATGCATGCATGCCACCTGACTCAAGTGTGCCCACAGGGTCTGTGGCAAGCCAAAGAGAACTCAAGCCAAAGAGACAGACCACTGAGCATGTGTGAACCCTGCTTGTACCCATTTGCATAGGAAATATGTTTATTGCTCTCCAGTTTCTATATGTCCCACAGTGTCACAAGTAAAGTAAATTGGAACACTGTGACTGTGTATCACCAGAAGCTATTTCTCTGCCCTGCAGAAAGCAACATGAGCTACTCCCTGCTAGAGCTTATTATTAGGTTGAAGCATATGAAGTTTCTGTTTTGTTAACTCACATGCTATCAACTGTTGGCAATTTCATACGGTTCAACCTCATTAATATGTACCAATTTTATATGTGTTAACTCACTTCAAGCTCACGACAGTCCATGAGGTCAGTGTTGCTGCTGTCCGTATTTTAAGCACATAGGAATTGAGGCTTTGAGGAGGCTTCAAATCCAGGAAGATAGGCACCAAAGTATATTTGCTTAACCACTGTGTACCTCCCAGGAATTTTCCAAAAAGGTGGGGGCAGAGAGCCTCTTCCTTTCATGGTAAACTACTCAGTCACACAGGAGTAGGAAAGGCATCTGTAGTCTGTAGTCAGCCCATGATGACAAGAGACCCGTGCACGGTAGGCCCTGGTCACTTGATATCCCACCTTCAGGTAGAGAGTAGGATTAGGGTAGGTACCTGTGCATAGTGGGACTCTGCATTTTTTGGGAAATAAAAATACAGTGAAACCCTTTTGGCTTGCTTTGGTTTCTTATTGTCCTGTAACTTCTGTGTCATTGCTACCAAAACACAACCTCATGCAGAGAAGGAAAATAGCCACATTCTGTGTCTCTTGAGGCCACTCCCATATTGTCTTGGCTATGCTGTCTTTTGAGATAGGTACAACTGTTCCTGTTTCATAGAGAGGGGGATTGAAGCTCAGACGGTTCAGAAACTTGCCCAAGGTCACAGGGAGTACATAACAGGGGTTGGGATGTGAATCTAGCTCTTCTGATTCCAAACCAGGAGTTCTTGGTCCCTGTGTCACGGACCCAGAATAAAGATGTTAGGGCTGTGAACAGGCTTTGACAGGCAAACGTGGCTGGAAGAACATCTACGAGGGCAGTTTCCCAGACCACAGTGGGTGGGATGGTCAGAGGGGCGGCTTAATGACAGGGATATGGAATGAAGTTAGTAACGGGAGGCAGGGAACCAGTTCCACTCTCATCAACTGCAAGTTCCCCTCATCCTTTGGGGGTTCCCTCGGCTACAGTGGAGGCCTCAGTCTGCGCTTCTAATCTTAAGTTCCCTGGTGGACATTTACCACCCTGGAAGTCAAACTGTGCCGTAAACTGAGGTTGGAGAACTGGCTGAAAGTGTGCAAAACATAAATGGGGTCAGAAAGGCTAAGAAAGGAAGACAAGGTGGGTAGGGAAGGAGCCCCAGGGTAGGATACCTGTGGCAGAGTGGACAGCCCCTGCCAGATAGAGGTGGCCCTGCTGCTCCTGATACTGCACCTGATGGCTGCCCCATCAGCGTGGGCTAGTGGTGACAGATCCTAAATTTTCCCAAAGGTACTCAAAATCTGGATTTCAATTCTGGGAAGGCAGCCAGAACAAGTTTCCAGTCACTGTGTACCCGGAAGTGAATGAAGGGCAGAAACACAGAGCCCGCTTTCTGCTTCTGTCTCCTGGGGCTTCGCTGGCTCTCCTGTATCTTTGTTCCCCTTTGCTTAGGATGAGTAATGAATAAGTAAGTGGGTTACTGTTCATGAGTTTATTCCTGACATCACTGAGTCCACAGGTATACTGTGGTACTCTATTTCGGGGAAGGATCATTGAAGATGAGAAACCAGGGAAAAACTTCTGTCCTATCATCCTGCGATTTTAAGTTTCACGAGTGCACATTAGCACTTAAAGGGAGTCCCAAGGAATGAGTTTAGGACTGTGCTGATGTCGGGGGTGGCTGGAACTGTAGGGCCATTTCTTCCTCCATGTTATGTAATCAGAAGAGTGCAGGCATCTGCAGGCTCAAGGTGCAGGAAGGGCTGAGAAGGTCACAGGAACAGTTTAGTGCCCTCTGAGAGAATATGAACTTTTTATGGCAAAGCCAGTTTACTGAGGGGCAACCCAGGGAAGCAAAATGGGAAAATAAAACAGCCAAGTGGACAAGAACTTTAGATCAGTAATGGAAAGAGCTTTTGAGAAGGAATCAGGAGACCCAAGTGTTGGCCACACTCAAGTGTGGACCAGCTCCATGACCTTCAGCTCTGTGACCTTGGACAGCTGAGAACCGAGCACTCATATTCAGGTTCCACAAGGCCTGGGGGGATCACATGTGACTCAAGTGTGCCCATGGGGCCTGTTGGCAAGCTAAAGAGAATCCATTTAAGGGAAATATAGTTACTTCCAGGAAATTGCTGCTATCTGGGAGTGCCAGTCTGGTGGTGTTGCCAGAGCTGAAGTTGCACTTGACTTCTTCCAAATGTTCAACATCACCTCCAAATTTCAATACAGCATGCAGCTTAAACAAAACACAGTCTGCACGCTGCCAATTTCAACTTCAGCCTCAGATCTCACTGAGATTCAGCTCTGCGAAAGGAGGGTGACTAAGTCCCAAATCTCTGCATGCTTTCCCAGCTGGGAATCAAGCAGCTTCCCCATCTCAGAATAGAGTTTTCAGGGGGGAGGGAGAGCACATTCCTGGCTTTGTTTCTGGGAGGAGACAGAGCATCTCAGTCACAGCCTGTGGAGGCTGTCCTGACCCAGAGAGAGAGCACCCCTGGGTTCTGTTCTCCATGGGTTCACAGGATGTGGGTGTTCAGGTGTAAGCCTCTATCTGATCAAGGGCTTTAACTGCTTGTTTTGATTTTGTTCCCAACTAAAAGAATATTCAGTGCCTTTCTAGGGGTGGGAAGAGGCCATGGAGACACACTCTCACACACATCCAAAACCATGTGTTTTTTTCCCCCATAAGACAGGCTCATTAGTGGAAAACTAGACGATCCAGATAAACAAAAAAGAAGAAAACCAAATTCCTACCATTTGGAGACAATCAGAGAAAAAAGAATTTCACAAAATAGAGGTGGCCAGATGATTTTCCAGCAAAATGTGTGCTATTCTAGTGTCCTGGAGTAAGTGGCCGCATGAGTCACCCATGTGAGCCTCAGGTAGGAGTGGGGTGAGTGGTGGGAGTGGGTTGTTGGGGCTAGACCTGCTAAGAAAGGCTGCTGGGAATTTGCCCTGGGAGTGCTGCATTGCAGTTCCAAATGTCTTTTTTCCCTCATCTTTTATTTTATTTTTTTAATAGCCACTATTATGTGCTTACTAAATACAACTATGCTAAATTCGCTCCATTTAGTATCTTGTTATATTCTTTTAACCCCACTATGAGGTGGATTCTAATGTCGTCTCTATTTTTCAGATGAGGAAACCACTTGGAAAAGATCACCCAGCCAGCAAATGGCAGAGCCAGGACTGGAGCCCTTGGTCTGCCTGACTCTAGAGTCCTAGTTTATTTTATTTTATCACTTTGTTCACTTAAAAACAAAAAACAAAACAAAACAAACAACAACAACAAAAAAAAAAACAACCTCCTACAAACTCTTTATTTTTGAATAATTTTAGACTTACAGAAACACTGTAAAAATAGCATAACCTGCATATCCTCAACATTACTATCTTGCATACCCATTCACATGATTACCAAAAGTAAGGAATCAACTTTGATAAAGTGTCATTAGTTGAATGGCAGACTTTACTCATATATCACCAGTTTTCCCCCTAAGATCCTTTTTTCCCCCCATTCTAGGAATCAATCCTGGATTCTATGAGGCTTTTAGTCATGATTCAGTTGTCATTGATTTCCAGTATCTACATTTTTTTCCGAATTTTTCCTTGTCTTTCACGATCTTATACTTTTGAAAAGTACCATATACTTGATTTGTTTTTGTTTGTGTTGTTAGAATGGCACATGATTTTGGTGTAGGGGATATTTTCTGCTGATTAGATTGAGACTATGCATTTTGCCAAGAACACATGATGGCAACACCACTATCTCTTAGGGCTGGTGATAGTCACCTTGACAGGTGGTTAGGTGGTACCTGTCAGCTCTCTCCATTGTAACGTTACTCTCGTCCTCTTTGAAGTCAATGATATATATCCTTGGGGAGATAATTTGACTTTGCAATATCCTATTCCTTCTCTAAGTTCTTTTTTTGTTTTTACATTTTTTTGTAGTAAGGCACATATATATTTTATTTTAAATTTATTTAATTTTATGGGTGATGTATGTATCTCATAAAAAGCATATATCCTTCACATAAAATTCACCGTCCCAGCCATTTGTAAGCATATGGCCTGCAGCATCAAGCACACTCACCGTGGGGTGGAACCATCACCACCATCCATCTCTGGAAACATACCTGCTCAAGTGAATTCTGAATCTATTTAACTAAGTCTCCTCTCCTTGGTAACCACCATTCTACTTTCTTTCTCTAACAATGTGCCTATTCTAGAATCATCATAGAAGAATTACACAGGGTATTTTTCTCAAAGTTTCTTCCCAGTAATCTTCGCACTGATAGATCTTGTTCACAACCGTTACAGCTATGGTACTCTAATAGTGATTTTCATTCATTCCCTCTACTCATCTGTTTCTTATGGCCATTTTTAAAGATCATTAGTATGGTCTTCTCTGATTCACTTAAAGACCAGTCACTCTGGAGAGAGAATTCTTAAAATGAGTAGAGAGCAGTTTAAATTGCTGTTTTTTAGGAGAAGGGAAAGGCCCGGCCCATGCTGTACATAAGGACCGGTTACATAATCTACAGGGAACAGTGTAAAATGGAAATCTGGGGTCTCATGTTAACAAATTATTAAGGATTTCAAATGGTGACAGAAGAGCAATAAACCAACTGCAGAGCCCTTCTGGTCTGTGCATTACTGTTTAATGATAAAGCCCGCCCTGTAGTGCCACCTTTCCTAGCTTCTGAGAGCCACTTGCTCAATTTCTTAGATGCCAAGGACACACAGCTGTGCCTAAAGGTGGGCTGTCTCTAGAGATCTCAAGGAGATGCCTTTCCACTTTCCACCCATCACCCGACTCAGTCAGGAGGGTAAGACTATTCTCATTTAAGTTCCTGTCCAGTTCTGTTCAGACAGGAAAGACACCCCCTCTTCTCTTTAGCCCTGTACCAGCTAACAACAAGTTCCAGGTAGGACTCTGGTCTGCAGCTCTTACCACAATGGAGGTCAGGTCCTCACTCTCAAAGCGGCTGATGGCCTGGTCCAAGGATTTATACATGGCGGCAGATATGCGCTGCGTAATGAGCCTGTTCAAGTCAATTGATCTGCCCAACAGCTGGATGGCAGAGAGCGACAGAGAGGGAGGGTGACGGAGGGAGGGGAGGCAAAGGGGAGAGAGAGGAGGAGGGAGGAGGAGAAAGAGAGGAAAGGTTACATAAAATGTGCACAGATACCTAACAACCCAATGCAACACCTTGACAGGAAACTGGATTAAAATTACCGATGACATTACTGGGACAAAAGGGACTGTATATAGACAGGAGCATCATTAAATCTCCCAAGAATGGCAATTCTCTTTTGATTTTGTAGGAGAATGTCCTCGTTCTTGGGAAGATATGGGCTGAGGAGTGCAGTCGTACCTGCAACTTCCTCTCAAATGGTTAAAAAAAAAAGTATACATATTAACACACACACTCCCCCCACACACTCACACTTACCATATGTGTGTGTGAGAGAAAATACATACAGGAGAAAGTGACCCCAAAATGATAAAATGTTACTCATCACGAATCTGGCTATCAGGTGGATGAGTGTGGGCTTCCCTGCAGTCTTAAAACATAAATACGGAGAAAAGAGCCGGCGAGGCTCTGGGAGGAGGCTCAGGGCAGACTCTGGCCTCTATAACTGCTGCTGACATCCTAAATTTACCCCTGAGGCTCTTCCTGCATCTTTCCTGTACTCAGCTCCGTCACCAGAGGACGGCAGCCACCTCAGCAAGGGCCCGTTTTGTGTCTTCTTGGGGGTGAACTTGAAAGCGAGAGGATGAAGGGCTGATTAAAGGATGGAAACTATCGCTTAAGATAATTTCCGCTGGGAGACATGTGGGCATTACTGAGATGCTGTGGAGATAACAATCAACATTTAATGAGCACCCGCTGTGTGCTCTGTGCTTTGATAGGTACCAAATGATTATTCTTAGCTATTACTTTTTTCTGCTTCCCTCTTAGGAAAAATTTTTCTCCCCACCAATGGCCTCGTCTTGCCATCTTGTGCGCACATGAAGCCCTCAGTACTTATTATCTTGTGGCTAATTTTGGCTGCTCTGTAAGTGACAGAAGTAGTCTTCTGAGAGGCTCAAGGAAAGCACTCAGTGAGCCCACGTTGGCGGGGGTGGGCTTCTCAGTTGGCCTTGGGTTTCTCAGTGACGGGAATGTCCAGCATCTCCAAGGCAGACTCCCCTTTTACCTCAAGCACCTTCTTGCTCCACCCTGGCCCTTCACCAGGCACTAGGGACCACAAAACACACAGACATCATAGTATCAAAGTCTTTTTGCCCCTGGGAGGCCTGGAAGCTCATATTTTTAAGTGGTGGGGCAATGTGTCTGAGCTCCCTGAACTGTTTCCTCTCCATCAGGGGTTGAGTTTGTTAACAGAACCACTCCACAAAAATAAACCACAAGCTCTGCCCTAGGTCTAACCTGACATGCTTCTCTTCAAAGGCACCACAGGCTGCCCCCACTGAGCCCAGCACATACTTGGTCCCTGTTTGGGGAGGATTTATCCACGTCTACAGGGCAGTGCCTACTAAAAGTGGGCTGCAGCTTATCCTGGCAGGACAAAGGGTTTGGTAGCCACTACTGGCCAGAGATGTGCAGGAGATGAGCCAAGAAGCTTAAAACGGGCACCAGAGGAAGCTCTTTATGTTTGTAAAGTTCTGAGATGTGTGACTTCTATGCTCAGGCCCACACCGGGCTGTTCTCAGGCAGACCATGCAGAATCCTGATTTCCAGCCCCCACCGTCACTTTGCAGAGTCCCTCCCCAGCCCACACCTCTCCACGTACCTGGACGTGTCTCTGTTTCAGCAGCGTCTCATAGCGGTTGGACGGTGGGTACGGGATGATGACTCCATAATTCTTACACTCAGCTCGGAAGCGTTTGTCCAGCAGGACACTGGAAAGGACCAGATCAAAGAGGCCCATCAACATGGCAGCGCAGGGCTCTCAATCGCTCAGCTGCGGCTGCTTCAGACCACAGGACCGACCCCTGAAGGGCTATCTCGTTCGCTCTGCTCTACAGCAGGGGTTTTCAAATCTTTTTAGACATGGGAGCTCAGTATAGGAAATACATTTTCTAAGTTCTAAGTTAAAGTTGGGGTCTGGAATGTCCTCAAAGGCTCATGAATTGAAGATTTGGTCCTCAGTTGGGGGCGCTATTAGGAGGTGGTGGGAACTTTAGAAGATAGGGCCTTGTTGGAAGAGGTGGGTCACTGGGGACATGTCTTTGAAGAGCATATTTTGTTATGTAGCTCCTGACTCCATCTCTCTCTGCTTCCTGGTGGTTATGAAGTGAGCAGGTTTGCTCTGCCACACCCCTCCACCATGATGTTCTGTCTCACCACAGGCCCAGAAACAACAGAGCCAGCTGGCCACGGACTGAATTCCTGAAACTGTAAGCCAAAATAAATCTTTCCTTCTTTAAGTTGTTTCCCTCAGGTATTTTGTCACAGGGGCAGAAAACTAACAAACACAGCAACTGAGTGCGTGCTGAGCATATCCCAGGAATCATTTCAGGTACCTCGGTTACCAAGCTCCTGTCCTCATGGAGCTTACATTTGAATGAACTGAGGCTGATGGTACACAAGTAAGCAGAGGAATAAAACAGTAACCATGTGGATGGGCAGTGTTTACTATTTACCAGGCACTCCCCCCACCACACACACACACACACACATACACACACACAGTCATTTTAATCTCCCAACAACCCTATGAGTTAGGAGCATAGAGGCAGACGGTGTGGAATAAAGAGGGCTTTGAAAATCTAAAATAGGATCGTTTGAGGTTAGGAAGTCAGGGAAAGTCTCTCTACAGTGGTTCTGTAGGACAGAGATGTGAATGATTAAAAATAGAATCGTCTGGGGGAAGACTCACAGACATAAGAAGTTGGCCCTGTTTGAGAAAAGGCAAGATGGTCAGGGTGGATAGAAACTAGGGCTTGCTGGAAAATATGGCAACAATGCATCAATTACCTCAGTCTAGGGGCCAGATCATGGGGCCATGTGTGTCCCAGCTGAGGGATGAGATTTGGTCTAGGCATAATTGGAGGTCATTTCAAGGTTTTAGGCCGAAAGAGATACACTCTAAATTGGCACTGTCCAATGAAGCAGCCACGGGCCACACGTGCACTGAGCACTTGAAATGAGGCTGGTTCAAATTAAAATGTGCTGTAAAATGCACACTAGAGTTTGAAAGCTGAGAAAAAAAGAAGAGAATGAAAGCTATTTCTTTAATGATTTTTATATTGATTATGTGTTGAGATTCTGGTAACTTGGAGATGTTGGGTTAGGTGAAATGTATTATTAAAATTAATTTTACCTGTTTCTCTTTCATTTTTAATATGCGGCTACTAATCAATGTAAAATGACATCGTTGGATCCCATTTGAGGCTGCATTTTATTTCTATTGGACAGGACTGACCTAGGTCACTCTTCCCCTCCTGGGTTTTCTCTGAATTTCCCAACCTGACACCCTTTTGAAAAGCACAGATGGCACCGTGTTGACCAAGAGACGTATTTCAGATGAGGATATTTATAAACCAAATACACAGAGGACCCAGGGTCCAACTAGCCCAAGTCTGTTTATACAGACGATGGATCAACATTTCTACCATCAGAACTGCCTCACAGAAGCTGGCAGCCCAGCTCCGAGCCCGAACCACGACCCATCCAATCCACCCACGCTGGTGTCAACCACTGTGTGATGGGGGTGTGTCTCTCGGTCCTCCTGAAATCCCAGGGATGTGCTTCTGTCCCTGCCATCATTTCAGTCACTCTATGTAATGCACATCCTGCGTTGATAGCCACATCTATGTGCCAGCTTTTGTCTGAAATGTATCAGAGCAACCCCACCTGTCAAAAGCAAACTGAAGCAAATCCTTTTCACAGAAAAACAAAACCATAATAATTAGGAAAAGAACCTAGCCTTGAAATTACAGGTTTTAGTTTGGGTTTTCGATAAGAATAAAAATCCATGATAAAATTGGAGGTTTCCCTTTCTTTCTCTCTATTTATTTATTTATTTAGTGGTACCAGGCTTGAAACCAGGGGCTCTCTAGCACTGAGCTACATCCCCAGTCCTTTTGATTTTTTTTTTTTTGAGATAGGGTATTGCCAAGTTGCCCAGGCTGGTCTTGAATTTGCAATCCCCCTGCCTCAGCCTCTTGAGTAGTTGGGATCACAGGCATATACCCCTGTGGCTAGATCCTGTTACAGATTCTCGAGACCCCGGAATGTACAGAAGTTTAAGTCAGTATATACTGGCAAGAAAACTTGACATGTCTCTGACTCAGACGTCTCGGGGGCCTCCTGCCTGGTTTTCACACACCTACCCTTGCTCATCCCCAATCCATTATCCATACTTTCATATCTTTAAAAGAGTGAACTTTTTAAAAGTTTTTTTTTTAAATTTATTTTAAATAGTTATACATGACAGTAGGATGCATTTATGCACATGGATATACATAAATGGGGCATAATTTCTCGTTTTTCTGATTGTACATGGTGTAGAATCACATCGGTCAAGCAGTCATATATGTACATAAGGTAATAATGTCTGTTGCATTCTATTATCCTTCCCATCCCCGTATCCCAAATAAAAATCAAATCAAGTCACGGTTGCACTTTTGAAACCATTCTGTGATGTTCCATCCTCCCAAGATGAAGGCCTTACGAAGTGAGCATGATCTGGCTCTGCTTACCCATCCAGCTTCATCCCGTAGCCTGCCCCCTCGTGGCTGTGCATGAGATACTGATAGGTATTGACTGACATTAAACCCCCATTCCAGCGTGAGGAGGCAGGCGTGCTCTCACTTTTATACTTCCCCCACAGGGACTTTGCACAAGAGGTACATTTGGCCTGCAATTTCCTGTCCTGTCTTTCCCCCTTGGTTTACTTAACTTCTCAGATGCTGCTTCCTTTAGACAGTCTTTCTAGCTGACATATCCCCATAGCCCCAGGAACTTTTCCTCATGGACAGCACACAACTTCCATTTATCAGTTTTTATCTCCATTACCTTATAGGCTCCATGAGGCCAGGACCATATCTGCCTATTTTCCTTTTTAATGTATTCTAGAACCAAACTCAGGTCAGTGAATTGGCCCAGTTCCTTAGAAGTAAAGGAGGAGGGAGGTTTTGCAATAGAACACCATGTATTGCAGGTACCCGTCTTAAGAAAGATCGCTGATCATAATAGCCCTGGGGCTCTCCTACCTGCCAGCCATGGCTTTGTAGTAAGCGAAGATCTGGTCCGCCAGCTTGTAGACAAACTGATCAAAACACAGGTTCACCTGGTGAAGACAAAGCAGGAAATGTCAAGGGAGTCTAGCTTTATCACAGCAAGACCTCCAACACGTCCAGCCATGACTCCCTGTGGTCAGCTAACCCTGCAGCTCCCACCCTGCCCAGCTCTTCTCATAGACTTTGTCTTTTCCTCCCATCTGACTTGACTTTGCAAATTTGATTATGAAGACACCATTACAAATGTAAAAGCCCAGGGGTTGGGGTTGTGGCTCAGTGGCAGAGTGCTTGCCTAGCACATGTGAGGCCCTGGGTTCGATCCTCAGCACCACATAGAAATGAATAAACAAAATAAAGATATTGCATCCATCTATAACTAAAAAATATTTTAAAAAAGAAATGTAAAAGCCCCTTCTTCAAACTCTTCTTAAATACCTCTCATTTTTAAGGTCTTACATTCAAGTGGTAGACTATGAAGCTCAAGGGGAAGATAAGTTCACACCAGACACAGAAAACCAGAACCATCTTCTCCAACAGTGGCCAGAGCAGGAAATGGCCAATGGTGGGACTTTAAAGAGACAATCCCCTGGCAGCAGGAGAGTATGAGAATAACTTCAAAGGAGACAGATTGAATTTAGTGGATTGATCTTGAATTCTTATTAAATTCTCAGCTCCATGAGGTCAACTCTTTATTCAAAAGCTTTCATACATTTTATTTGACACCCCACATATTATGTAGAATGCAAAAACACACTGCAATGTGTAGGTCTGCCTTCCCACCCAGGTAGCTGAGGCCTCTTCCCTGGACTTGGGACTTCAAGGTGCCCACTGGACCCTCCTCCAGGCAAAGAATATACAGGGTAAGGTGTGGGTGTTCACTCTGACCCCATGCTTCCCTCCTAGAACTGGCCTTGCCCAGGGCTGTGAGGTCTTCTCTGAGGTTCATCACCCTGAGAGTGTACTGCCCTTCAGGTGTGTGCGTCCCTGGCCCTATGGTGGCCAAGGGGCATGTTTGTCAGCAGAAACATCAGATAAAGTTTGGGTGTCTGTACATAGCACACAACACCCTTCATGGTGCAGAACAGTTTGGGGATGAGAGGAGAAGAAAGGGAGCCGGTCAGGTCTGAAGTTGTACACAGAATCACCTTGGACAATCACGGTGACTCTGAAGCTCGCTCTCTCCAGAGCAAGTCACCGACTTTGCACTGAAAGCTAAAGATCCGAAAGGTCCAAACTCTTGGGATAGGATTGCAGGAGCGAAAGAAGCATTCCACTCACCTCGGCTTCAATCTCATCGTACAGGAACTGCTTTTTAAACTTGGTCAAGGCATAGTAGGCGCTGTCGTTGTACAGGTCCAAGGGATAGAGGACATACCTGGACAGGAGGGACAAGAGCCAGTGGTTTATTAATGCTCTCACTTAAGAAAGACAGACTTATGCTCACCTGGGAAACACAGAGGGCTGGGTGGGATGATGAGCAGGCTCAGAGTTAGGAAGGACACCTGTGTACCCTCCCTGATGTCCCTGCCCAGTGCCTCCACTTGGGAAGGACTTATTCTATGTCTGCCCATAGAAATACAAAGTTCAGATGCTAATGAAACCACAGCCAGAAAAATAGGTCTAGGGCTAAAAGAAATGGGGTGGCAATAAGGAAAACTAGCTTTCAGATCCCACGAGATGATCCTTGCCCAAGCAGGGCTGCCACAGGACTGACAAGCCTAGGGAGGACAGCCTGGAACTTGTGAGTCCCTGCAAGGCTGAGGCAAATGGTCATGTGTGACCTGGTCCTTGGCCTGAGCTCTCCCCAGCGGGCACATGGCTCCGTCTCCAGTCCACTCAGGATTTTCTTTGGAAAGAAGAGAGCTCGCAAGCACTATCCTCCCCTGCACCCCAGAGACCTTCTCGTGGGCCCACATCTGCCTCTTACTCCATCATGGAAGGTTCTTTGGTTTCCAGGATATGGTCCGTTAGAATCCAGGGCATGGACATCTCGATGGGGAACTGGATCCGCCGGCCCATGGTTAACTCCAGGAAGAATTCTCGGAACCAGAGCTGGGAGAGGTCGCAACACTGCTGCAGGGCCTCTGAAAGCAGAAGGGAAAGAACCTTGAGTGACAGCCAGGGGCCACCCGGCATCTTAGTTCTGCAGTTTTTAATTAGTTTTTATTGCTCTTGTCATCACCACGCTTGAGGCACAGCAGGGACTTCATCTATAGCCATTTAGTAGATCCTGCTATCCTGAACTTGAAGGTGACCTTTGCATCTACTGGAAGATGGCTTATATGGGGCAGTGCAGGGGGCATGGGGTGGAGTTTAGACTCCCCACTGCTTCCATCAACCCCCCCTGTAGTGCCAGCCAGAAACACACACACTCCAAGTGTAAAGTGTGTTTTTTATACAAATAGCTTGAAGACCAGTCCCCAAGTGCCTCCTTTCAATGGGATTGTGGCACCTTGACCTATGTGGTCATTCTGGATCCCTTATTGTTCAGAGAGGCCTTGAAGGTCCTACCTAGGCCACTCTCTCATGGAGAAGTTTGGATTGGTTGTTAAGATCACTCTTTTCCACACACCAACAGACCCATCAAGACGCTCATGTCCGTAGGACTCGGCTTTTCCTCTACCTGACCTGTGCAACCTTTTAGCATGACCTGCATCCCACCAAAGTGGGGGAGAGTAGCCTGGGAGCCTCTCTGGAGAGGAGTGAGCTGCCAGTGAGCTCAGAGCTGTGGTTCAGCCGCATGGCTAGGGGGAGGCTCAGTGGTACAGTGCTTTCCTAGCATGCACGAGGCCCTGGTTTGATTCCAGGTAACACCAAAAAGCTGATTTAGAGGTCTGGGGTGAGGCTCAGTGGTAGAGTTCTTACCTTGCACGTACAGGGCCCTGGGCCCTACCCCAGCACTACAAAAAGCATCCTCAATGCCTACTGCCCACTCTGCTAGTGTGGGCTTTGCTATTTTTAATCCTCCTTTCCTAAGGACTTCTGACAAAGAAGCCACAAACATCTACCCCACAAAATCAGCTAAGTCAGAATAGCAGCTCTGAGCCTGGCCTTTTCTACCCACGTCCACCAGAAAGCATATATATTTTTCTCTCCTGGTGGCAAAACATGGCCCTCTGGGTCCATGATCTGGTCTCTCTGCAACTTCTCTGGAGTTGCTCTGGGAGGTGGGAGCCCCGCCCCCCTGACCCGGGCCCTGGGGCTCACCACTGATGTTGAGCAGGTGCGTGAAGAAGAAGGACTGTTTGTGGAAGTCCTCTATGGCGAGGACGATGGGTCCGTCCAGGCTACTCCTCAAGGTCTTCTTGGAGCCACTTTTGTCTGCGATGAGTGACTCCAACATGGTGCGCACCATGTACAGCTTGAAAAAGAAAGAGAAGAAGAAGGTCAGGGCTGGCTCTCCACCCTGGGGAAAGGCTGCTTTGTGCTGTATGTCTGCACTTATTGACTTTCTGCTCTCAGAACGAACTGTCTTAAGGAAACACCAGTTTAGGTGGAGAAGTGAATTTGTACTGTGAAAACCTTTTCTTTTTTTTTTTTTTTTTTTTTGTGGTACTGGGATTGAACCCAGGGTCTCACGCATGCTAGGCAAGCACTCCACCACTGAGCTGTGTCCCCAGCCCTTGTGAAACCTCTAAGAGGGAGGCCAACCAGGCTAGGAGAGAAGTTCTTCCCAGAGTCCCTCCACATCCCCAGATAGGTGGACCTGAAACATGAAGTGGTTCAAGGCCCCTGGAGCGGTTCCTGCCTGCCCTGCTTAGCCAAGGGCGTAGGCATCAGAGAACCTCATTCCATGTCACTCTAGAGTCACTCTCTGCATTTTCAGATGGCCATGGTGGCACCATGGGTGGAGCACTGGACTGGGAGTCAAAACACCCAGGTTCAAGGCCAGGTACTGCTGCTGACTTGCTGTGTGACCTTAGGCAACCAAGTTCCCACTCTGGGCTTCAGTTATCTAACAGTAAGGGATAGGACCAGAATATTTTCTCCCGTCAGTCTCTTTCCGCTCTAATATTCTGAGGCGTTGTAAAGTGGGATAAGACCAGAATGAGTTCCCCCCCCACCACCATTAAGTTTCTGATCCTCAGCAATTTGAATCCATCGGTGGATGACGGCACCCCCTGGTGGCCTGGGCTGTGTGGCACAGCCTGCCAGAAATGCCGGGTGGCCCGCGGGTTAACATTGGTACTTACACAGGAGGCTACTAGACAATTAACTCCTGCTTACAGAGGGCCCTACGTGCAAAGGGCGCAAGTGCAGTAGGGTTGTCTCTGCTAATCTAGATCTTTCCACATCATTTGTCTTTGAATCTGAGGGCTGGAAGAGGGGCCTTGAGGAGCCAGGCTAGTCCATTCCCGCTGCCTCCTGGAGAAGGGCACCCAAACCAACCCAGCCGGGCGGTGTAATACCAAGGATCGGCAGCCTCTTCGGCCCTGTGTGCCACCAGTGGGGTGAAACAAAGCCCTCGGGGACCACTGGCAGGCCTAAGACATAGATAGGAGAGAAGGAAGAGGGGTGGGAGGGCAGGAGAGACAGGGAAGAGGGAGAGAGAGAAAGAGAGAGAGAGAGAGAGAGAAAAGCGAGAGGTGTTGCATACGGTGGGACGCCAACGCGACTGCTCGGGCACCTGAGACGGCCAACCTCCCATCAACCGCGCTCCTCTCTGCACCTGCCGAGACCTGCCCTGGAGTCTCCCCGACCGCTGCCTGGCACTGACGGGGCAGTGCAGCCACAGGAGCGCGTGACACACCAGCCTTCCTGTACGGTGGAGGGTGCTCATGGCTGCAGGTGCCCTGGACAGTCCTCCACCTGTGACCCTGTCGCTGGACACGCCTCACCATCCCTAAGACTTGAGAAGCACTGTTCTCCAGATGGCCCTCGGGGTCCTCAAAGAAGGAGCCACTGAGTCCAATCTGCTCTGGCTGCTTAGGGACCCCTGAGCAGTTTTTTTTTAAATTAAAAAGTTAAATTTTAAAAAAAATTTAACTCCTGGAATGCTGGTTTCACCCTCAGAGGGGAGACCCTGTCCCCACCTACCTTAACAGACCACTAGTTCACTCCAAGTCTAGAGCCCAGCTGCAGGACGCCCGTGTCTACTGTGTCCCGAAGGCATGGCAGAGCCCTGGGTGGGAGTCAGGAGACCTGGGTTCTTGTCCCACCTCCACTTGGGACCCACTTTGTGACTTGGACAAGTCACTTTCCTTCTGGACCTCAGTTTTCCCATCTGTGAACTAGGTGGGGGACGGGAGCTGGGTTGTCTCTGTGGGTTCTCCCAGCTCACCCTGGCTGTCCTGGGGTCTGTACCACCTAATCAATCGTGCCTTGGTGGTGTCTGGGGTTTGATGTGGGTGACCCTCCCCACTCACTTCTCCCAGAGGAATTCTGCTCCTCTCTCCCTCTCCCCTCTCCAGTTCCTCTGGTGCCTTTTCTCTCCTCCTCATCCATGTCTTAGGATTCACAGAAACACCAGCTCGGCCCTGCCAGGGTGCTCTGGGCCGGGAAGGTCTCTGGCCCTAGATGTCAGTCACACAGAGCTGTCTGCAGTTTTCCTGGGTCGTCCACAACCAGGAGGTGAGAACAGCACACACCCAGGGCTATGAAGCCACGGGAAGGTACCTGGCTGCCCCTTACCCTCGCCATCCCCGGCCCTGCCAGACACGGACACACACACAGGAGGGAGGGGCAGGAGGGTCCGCAGGTGGCCCATCTTGGAGCAGAACAGAGAGGCCTGATGGTCCTGTGAAGCGGGGCTCCCAGCCTGGGGCTTCTGGGGCCTGCTTAAAGATGCACCAAGATCCATTGCTTTAGAATAGTGGAAAAGCCAGACCCAGAACTATGTATAGGTGGCAAGAATCTAACTCCAATCCCCAGTTTTCCTCTTTAATTTTATGACTTCTCTGGCCAAGTCACAGGCAATGTCTTATTGCGTAGAAGTTCTAGTTGGTCACTCTTACTTATGATTATTAGACACTCTCTAAGGACCAAGCGCTTTTAAATACTTGTGTTTTTTTTTTTGGGGGGGGGGGAGCAGGGCAAGTGGGAATGAGAAAAAGTAGCATTTTAACAATAATATGATCTCAGTCCAAGTTTTCACTTTACAGAGAAAACAATCAGAGCTCAGAGAGGTCAGGGTGCTTGCTCAAGATCACACAGCAAATCAGAGGAAGAACTTGTTTATCTCCCCACTAGGATGCCACTGCAGGGGAAGGGGACAGAGTTAGGTGCATATATATTCCACTTTAAATTCCTCCTGCACTTTGAAATCTGAACTTCACAGGGCCTGGAGACAACTGGACTAAGTAGATATGGTACTACCCCAACTGGTCAGATTAGACAACTGAGGCACAGAGAGATTGTGTAATGTGCCCAAGGTCACACAGGTATCTAGGACTAGAATCCAGGTCTCCTGAATCTGAGGCCAGTGGTCCTCCTTCCTATATCAAATAAGATGTCAGAGTAAGACCAGAACAGCTACTCCACCCTGCCCCTCCTGACTGAGGACTCCCAGTCCCACTGTCCCATGGCCCAGCCATGATGACCCCCTATGGCCCAGCTGGCCCCGAGTCAAGGAAGCTGGCCTGTACCTGTGTACTGGATGGCCCCACGGCACGCCGGGGCACCTTGATGTCAAATCCGCCTTTGGGGTCCTTCTCCCCTCTCAAGCATGGGTCATTGGGGGGCTCTCGACCTCCCTCCCAGTCACAGATGGTCTTCCGAATTGCTTGCAGGACACTGGGGAGGGAAGAACTGAGACTCAGACCAGTTCTCAGTCTTGGAAGGAGACACTGTGAGCCTGCCCTTCCAGGGCCCACAGGGTACCAGGACGGGGGTGTCAGGAAGCACTCCTCCAGGGACCCCACCCCAGAGGTGCAGGTATAACAGACTGAGGTACGGCCAGGGACCTGCATACTAGTAAGTATCCCACAAGCTTCTGAAGCCCGCTGGGTGTCAGAACGACTCTAAGTCCCCGTAGGGGGACAGGGCCTGGGGAGGCAGGAGGGTTACTTTTCCTTTGGAGCTCTCAGAGTCTCACTAGTCCAATTAAATTTCTGCATATTTAAAGTTTTTTTTATAATAACTTGACACTTGTTCCCTACTTTCTCCATGATACTGTGTGCTCAGGTCTATGAGAAAACTGATTCTCACTTCTTCATCTCCCAGGGGTGGGGATCTTGGCTAGGAAGTAGGTACCATTATTCCCATTTTACAAATAAGGAACACTGAGGCCTGGAGAAGTCTTTTGGGTAAGTTCACCCAGCTCGACGGGGGTAGGTTCATCTTTGAACTCTGACACAGAGGATGCATTCCTCTCAAATGTCCAGTCTTCAACCAGAACTCGCTGGAAGGACCCGCATGTCAGAGCTACCCTGGACGCTGACTGGGCTTCCTCTCCAGCCTGCACCTGGCACCCCTTATTTTCTGATGTGCCCCTGCAAAAGGCCACCAGAAGACCCACCTGATGAGGACGTTCTTCTTCTTCCGCACCGCCTGCCTCAGGGGCTCACGCAGGGTCACCTGGGCGAAGTCCTGCAGGGCGGCATAGATGGTGTTCCGGATGGCTTGGTTGAAGACGCTCTCCATCCTGCCCATGAGCACCTGCAGGCCCTTGATCATGGCGATCACCTGGCCAGACACAGAGTGAAGGTCAGGCTCACCACCCCTCAGCCCATGGGCTCTCCACCACCCTTGGCCCTTCACAAAAAAAGCAGGTAGGGGGCGAGTGAAACTCCCAGGGCCACCCTCAGGGCGGTCCAGTCCCAGAATGCTGCAGCTCGGGACTCCTCCTCAGGCTGCCTTCCTAGGACAGCGCCCCCTCAAGGCCACCCTCACACACTGCTGCAGGCAATGCAGATGGGTACAGCCACCGTGGACAACAGCGTGGGGGCTTCTCAATAAAACAAAATCAGAACTGTCACGGGACCCAGCAATTTCTCTCTGGGTAGGTATCCAAGGAAAATGAAATCAGTAAGCTGAAGAAGCACCTGCACTTCCCTGTTTACTGAGGCACTAAACTCAAGACATGGAATCCAGTGTGGTATCCGTCGGTGGATGAATGGACAATGAAACGTGGTGCAAATACAAAAGGGAACATCATCATAAAAGAGAAATGAACGAGGCCATTCACAGAAACATAGATGGAACTAGAGGGCACGGTGTTGAGTAAAGTAAGTCAGGCACAGGAAACAAGAACCTCTTGCTCTTATGTATGTGAGAAGACCGAGGACACAGTGGTGATTGGCAGAGCCTGAGAGTGGTGTGGAGGAGGGGCTGAGAGAGGATGGTTAACAGGTACAGGGTGCAGCTGGGCAGTTATCTACAGTACAGTGTGATAACCATGGTTGACAATCCCGAACCGCATTTCAAAATAGCTACTAAGGAGGATTTTGAATGTTCCTAACAAAGAAATGTGAGAGGGGACAGATATGCCAGTCATCCAGGGCTGATGACAAACCACACACTTGTGTGGAAAGGTCACACTGTACCCCTTAAATATGTATAAGTACTCTCTCAATTAAAAACACATGTACTTTAAGAGAGAAAATCTTGCTACAAAGTTGTCCGCTCGGGTGACTGTGTGCTTTGTGATGCAGCTGACCTTCATTCTGGTGTGAGATCCAGATGTTGCTGCTGGCTGGTGACAAAAAGGCCACATTCTGAGTGCCATTCTGGCTTTTGGAGACCTCTCCACATACCTTGCATCCACAGATAATGACAAATGGGGCTCCTCTGCCCCCTACCAATTTTCTAGAGAAGTTTTACAATCTTTGCTTTGGAAATACTTTGGCTTCTCACTACTTAGTCCCTAAAATCGAACTCCTCCTGAAGCAGTCCTGGGGAAGCCTCCGCTCTTCTGTGGGTGCCCTTGCTGCTCTTTCCCTCCCTTATCTGTTTGGGGGAGACACGAGACAGAGGAGATGTCCCTGGCCCAATCCTGGCTCTGTCTTTCTTCAGAGTCCTGTTGTGTTGCAATAGCCATCTCCTCCCCACCCCAGGGAAGGGCGGCAGGTACATTTGTGGCTGTGCTTACCAGTGGGTAACTCTGATGGAGTGGGGCGGAGGAGGGTGACTAGTGGTCATGGGCAGGCACCTCAATCTCCAGTCCCTGGCTTTGCTAGGAACAAACCTGATCCTCCTGCCCTGATCAGCCTCAAGTGGTCATTTCCTGATTGGTTCAGAATTCAAGGGGGAAAGGTTGTGCCCCATCAGCCTACACAACTGGCACAACTGGACACATATCACACCCATAATGATGTGCTTGACCTTGTGCACCAGGCTGGAAGCATAGCAGGGGCTGTGTGTGCCCCAGGGATGGTGCCTGGGGCCATTGGTGAGCAGACAGAAAAGGAACTAAGGATGAGCTTACACCTCATTAAGGAAGAAGAAAACAAAACAAGACAAAACATTTGCATTACAGTAAACTGTGAGAACAGCATTCAGGAGGGGAGGATTTTAAATGGAACCAGATATGATGGCTTTTTTGCCAAAAATTTTTTGCAGGGAGAACTAAGGGACAAGAGTCAGTAAAGGGCGGCTATGTCCCCATAGAGTCAGAAGTCCTGCTAGAGACGCAACTGGGAAACACTAAGTGAGAGGAAGGATAAGATAAGGAAGGAGTACCAGGGAATCTCCAAGCATGGAGCCTGCGGGGCTGTTGGACCTCAGGGGAGAGCCGGACAGCTTTGGGTGAGGCAAAGCTTTTCTAGCTAGAACTCGAAAACTGCAGACTACCAATAATTAATCCATCAGACTTTATTAAAATTAAAATCTGCTATTCTTCAAAAGGCATCCTTAAAAAAATCAAAGTGACAAAACCACTGATTAGAAAAATTACTTGCAACATATACAGGATTATGGTCTTGTGTCCAGAATAAGGAAAAAATTCTCACAATCCAGGAACAAGAAGATGGAAAGCCGACTTTTAAAAAATGGGCAAAAATATTTCAACAGACAACATTATGATAGACCCAACCTGATCTTTTCTTAAAATTGGGCATCTCGCCACAAAGCCATGAAAAGATAATTTCGGCTTTACTATAAATTACTGCAAATTCTGAACCTACTTGGAATGCCTTCCTGTGCCTTGAACTCACCCATGCCTGGCTCTCTGACCAGATAGCAGCCCTCTCTGAAACTTTAGTGACACCTCATAAATATTGGCCGTCCCTGGCCAGACAACGACCCTCTCTGAGGCTCTAATGGTCCTCATAAATTCTGATGTTGGGGCCAGCAAAAAAAAAAAAAATGTAAACTACCATTAGTGTGATGCTTGTCAGAGTTCTGTTATCTGTAACCCCCCTTTGTGTAACTTTCTAGGCTATAAAGCTGGGCTGCAGGAAGCTGGGGTGCTGTCTTGTTCCCGCCGTTTTGGGAGGGAGAGACAGCCCGGACGGTCAAAATAATAAGCTTGCTTTAATTTGATTTTAATTGGAGTCAGTGGTCTTTTCTTGCGTCCTGGTCTAACATTTTGGAGGCCCCAGCGAGATGACCCTGCCCGACCAGATCACAAGACCAGACTGCTGGAAATTCTGAAGCCGGCCTTCGCTCCAGGGCCCGGGGCTGGAGAGCCACTCTAGGGGGTGCGCAACTTGAGACGTTCCAAGGCCTCGGAGTGAGCCTTCGGTCCCCGGAGCACTGCAGTGAACTGCCGCACTAAAACTATCAGCAAGCACCTGGTGGAGGAGGCCTCCACAGGTAAGTGGCGCCTTTATAACATCTGGTATCCGGTTAAGGGAGATCTCTTCTGATGACAGAGAGGTGGCCTGGCGAGGCTCACATATACTCCTGTGCGGGACAGTAACGAGAAATCGTTCTGTCCTCTGTTCTGTTCTGTAGGGAATTCCTCTGGAAGGGTAGAGAGGTGCCAATGGGCACGCACACGCTCCTACCCCAGAGCTTTAGCAAGACGGTGCATTGCTCCTCTGTTTTCTGTTTTGGCGCTGGGTTTCTGTTTTCTTGTATTTTGTTCTGTGTTCTATATGTTTTTTGTTTGTTTGTTTTTGTGCGTTTTGTTGTGTGATTTCTGTGGTAAAAACTTAAGGATATTGGATGTGAAAATGGGTAATAAAGCAAGTAAGCCTGACACCCCTTTGGACTCTGTTTTAAGGAACTGCAATGAACTTTACCCCCCTTTGTTAAGCTGGATGAGAGAAGCCCCTGGCTGGCTGCTGGAGCACACCCACTGCAGAGGGCAATGCCTGCTGGGGATCTAAGAACTGAGTATCTCCCAGGTTAACAAGTGAGACTCCTTTAAAACCCCTTGTCCCTCCAGATCAAGGGAGTCCCCTGTGTTTCTCCTTTGTTAGCAAAGCAATAAACCTCCCTTTTTTCTTTTTCTCAAAACCCTGTCCTCATTATTAAATTGGCATTAATTGGCTTCAAGGTCAGGAACCGAACTTTCAGTTACAAATTTTGATACCACCACCCCCCCCAGAACTTTTTTTAGAGCTGACTACTGAAATGTTAGGAGATAGAGTGTGCCTGGGGTGGAACCGAACCAGAGGATCTAATCCTGTAAGTAAAAGGAGGGACTGAGGGACTCCCAGCAGCTGCCGAAGCCCTGTTGCTTCGGGGAATTCCCTCCTTCCTTCCCTGCACCGTAAGGATTATGCCACCTCTGTCTTCATAAAAAAAGAGAAAAAGAAAAAGGGGACACTAAATGCAGTAAAGTCACCATTGAGACCCTTGATTTTACATTTCAGGTTGCCCCTCTGTGAAAACATCTGGTCCCCTTGTGGGGACATCTATGGTGCCACTGGTGTAGGAGATTTTTCTCTTATCTGCTCTGTTTTAAAGGTTTCTGTCTGTCAGCCATAGTCTGGATCTCCTCTCTGTCTGTCTGTCCTGTGTCTTTGTTTCTGGCCCTTTAAGACATGTGCAATAGTGTGTTGATATTATAAATTGTTTCTTGGGAATGATCTTGGCTGAATGCGTGTCTAAAAGATAATTTTTTATTGTAACAATCTGGTATCTGAATGGGTTTTTGAAGCATTGCACAATCTTGCAGTTAAAAGTTGGGTTTAGGTGATTATTTAGTTTATGATTTCAGATAATTCATGCCAGAGAACTTAAATACTTAGGATGGAAAACTAAAGAACTCTACTTCCAAGTTGGCAAGTAACTTCCCAATCATTCAGTTTTTTGTTTTTTTTTTTTCCACCAATTTTGAATTGGGTAGCCTGGGAAAATGTCACTGTGTGTACCAGTGCATTAATTTGGACAAGGATAGTAAATCATAGTATGGTATCTGTTGACAAAACAAGATGTAAAGATATAAAATTTTGTGAATTATATCTTAAACTTGTATCATAATTTTCATCATCCGAACCTGAAAATTATGACTTATGATTAAAATGCCTTAGGCCTGAGGTGTCTGCTCAGAATAGCAGTTTTTCCCTGTTCCTTCCAGACCTCAGCCAGGACTTATGTTGAAATGCAAATGAAAGAAGCCTGCAAGCTCAGTAGGAGACTGATCTGAGGCCTAAAAAAAAAAAAGATAAATTGTATGGTATTTACTAATTACTGGCCAGTCATTTTTTCTAAGACTCTTGTTTTTGTTTTTTTTTTTTCTTAGATTCTGTATTTTTTTGAGCTCATGATTTTGATCCTACAGACCTAGGTTAATG